CATTCCATTCCGTTTGTCAACTGAAACGCTGACACCCCTGTACCTCGGTGATAACGTGATAGAAAACTAACTGAGGACTTTCTCGGGGATAACGTGATAGAAAACTAACTGAGGACTACCTCGGGGATAACGTGATATAAAACTATCTGAGGACTTCCTAGGGGATAACGTGATATAAAACTAACTGAGAACTACCTCGGGGATAACGTGATATAAAACTATCTGAGGACTTCCTAGGGGATAGCGTGATATAAAACTAACTGAGAACTACCTCGGGGATAACGTGATAGAAAACTAACTGAGGACTTTCTCGGGGATAACGTGATAGAAAACTAACCGAGGACTTCCTCGGGGATAACGTGATATAAAACTAACCGAGGACTACTTCGGGGATAACGTGATATAAAACTAACTGAGGACTACCTCGGGGGAAACGTGATATAAAACTAACCGAGGACTTCCTCGGGGAGAACGTAGTATAAAACTAACCGAGGACTTTCTCGGGGATAACGTGATATAAAACTAACCAAGGACTATCTCGGGGGTAACGTGATATAAAACTGACTGAGGACTACCTCGGGGGTAACGTGATATAAAACTAACCGAGGACTTCCTCGGTAATAACGTGATATAAAACTAACCGAGGACTATCTCGGGGATAACGTGATAGAAAACTAACCGAGGACTATCCCGGGGATAACGTGATAGAAAACTAACCGAGGACTATCCCGGGGATAACGTGATAGAAAACTAACCGAGGACTTCCTCGGGGATAACGTAGTATAAAACTAACCGAGGACGTTGTCGGGGATAACGTGATATAAAACTAACCGAGGACTACTTCGGGGAGAACGTGATATAAGACTAACTGAGGACTACCTCGGGAATAACGTGATATAAAAATGAGGACTTCCTCGGGGATAACGTGATAGAAAACTAACCGAGGACTTCCTCGGGGATAACGTAGTATAAAACTAACCGAGGACTTTCTCGGGGATAACGTGATATAATACTAACCGAGGACTATCTCGGGGATAACGTGATAGAAAACTAACCGAGGACTATCCCGGGGATAACGTGATAGAAAACTAACCGAGGACTATCCCGGGGATAACGTGATAGAAAACTAACCGAGGACTATCCCGGGGATAACGTGATAGAAAACTAACCGAGGACTTCCTCGGGGATAACGTGATATAAAACTAACCGATGACTACTTCGGGGATAACGTGATATAAAACTAACTGAGGACTTCCTCGGGAATAACGTGATATAACACTGAGGACTTCCTCCGGGGATTACGTGATATAAAACTAACCGAGGACTTCCTCGGGAATAACGTGATATAAAACTAACCGAGGACTATCTCGGGGGGAACGTGATATAAAACTAACTGAGGACTACCTCGGGGGAAACGGGATATAAAACTAACCGAGGACTTCCTCGGGGATAACGTGATATAAAACTAACCGAGGACTACTTCGGCGATAACGTGATATAAAACTAACTGAGGACTACCTCGGTAATAACGTGATATAAAACTAACTGAGGACTATCTCGGGGGTAACGTGATATAAAACTAACCGAGGACTTCCTCGGTAATAACGTGATATAAAACTAACTGAGGACTTCCTCCGGGATAACGTAATATAAAACTAACTGAGAACTTCTTCGGAGATTACGTGATATAAAACTAACCGAGGACTTCCTCGGGGAGAACGTAGTATAAAACTAACCGAGGACTTTCTCGGGGATAACGTGATATAAAACTAACCAAGGACTATCTCGGGGGTAACGTGATATAAAACTAACCGAGGACTACCTCGGGGGTAACGTGATATAAAACTAACCGAGGACTTCCTGGGGGATAACGTGATATAAAACTAACCGAGGACTACTTCGGCGATAACGTGATATAAAACTAACTGAGGACTACCTCGGGGGTAACGTGATATAAAACTAACCGAGGACTTCCTGGGGGATAACGTGATATAAAACTAACCGAGGACTACTTCGGCGATAACGTGATATAAAACTAACTGAGGACTACCTCGGGGATAACGTGATATAAAACTAACTGAGAACTACCTCGGGGATAACGTGATATAAAACTAACCGAGGACTATCTCGGGGGTAACGTGATATAAAACTAACTGAGGACTACCTCGGGGGTAACGTGATATAAAACTAACCGAGGACTTCCTCGGGGATAACGTGATATAAAACTAACCGAGGACTTCCTCGGGGATAACGTGATATAAAACTAACCGAGGACTTCCTCGGGGATAACGTAATATAAAACTAACCGAGGACTTTCTCGGGGATAACGTGATATAAAACTAACCGAGGACTATCTCGGGGATAACGTGATAGAAAACTAACCGAGGACTATCTCGGGGATAACGTGATAGAAAACTAACCGAGGACTATCTCGGGGATAACGTGATAGAAAACTAACCGAGGACTTCCTCGGGGATAACGTAATATAAAACTAACTGAGGACTACCTCGGGGATAACGCGATATAAAACTAACCGAGGACTTCCTCGGGGATAACGTGATATAAAACTAACCGAGGACTATCTCGGGGATAACGTGATATAAAACTAACTGAGGACTACCTCGGGGATAACGTAATATAAAACTAACTGAGGACTACCTCGGGGATAATAATCTGCTGTGTCAAAGTTCGATGTTACTTGTAATGGAGTTGAGAACATTCCCCTTGGTCTGAAACACCACAAGATGGTTAGCCCTGACAGCGTCCTTTCACGCCTGTTGAATGAAAGTAACATTCTTGCTTCACGCACCTACGGCGATTACATGTCGTTGGGTTGCTATTCAAGTGATTCTTTCTGATATCACGATTAACGTGATATATATTGAATGCTGACGGACAAACTAACAGCAAATGTTTCCGGAATATGGATTTTGATGAAGACTACGGGCAAGTTTGTAAGTTTGATTTTCGCCATTCGAATCTCATTGCGAGATATTCTATTTCCTCGTACTACATTAATTGCAGGTCAACCCTTTGATTATGATCCTTAGTATGCCTATTACATTAACGACGTGACCCTATGTGGGTGTGAACTACATTTTCCTGGCGGTTGTCGTCGATGAAGCGGAAGACATTAACACTTCCGGATCACGTTGTTTCAGTATTGATCCATAACAATGATATTCATTGTTCATATTCTGATTTGCGTGCATTGACTCTTAGTGTCTGTTGAACTGTCCTTTTGAAATAAATAAACAATGCACATCATTATAGGAGTGTAATTAAGAACCATGTATTATTCTATTTACTGCAGCATGTCTACTGCCATGTTCAATGTGTTTCTAACCTTTCAATATGATTATAAGGCCGAAGTAAGACTCGCGCTTTCCCGGATATTTTAGGAATAATTCTAGTTCTTGTCTATATTCCTATAAGAGAGGAATAATAGTTTGAAGTAGGATTTGGATACCCCTTGAGTGCCTCTGAATATTTCAAGTTCCCCCTTCCTTACAGAGATGAATTACAGTAAGAAGTAGGATTTGATTAACTCTTGGGTGACTTTAATTATTCCTAGTTCTACATTCTTTTAAGAGAGGAATGACAGTAAATAGTAGGATTTAATTACCCCTTGAGTGCCTCTGAAAATTTCTAGTTCTACATTCTTTTCAGAGAGGAATGACAGTAAATAGTAGGATTTGGATACCCCTTGAGTGTCTTTGAATAATTCGAATTCTACATTTCTTTAGGAAAAGAATGACAAGAAGAAGAAGGATTTGATTTCCCCTTGGGTGCCTCTGAATATTTCTAGTTACCAGGAAGATGTGATACTAGTAAGTCTAGGCCTACGTTCGATTTCAGAGATTATCGGGTTGTGAGTGACTTCAGTTGAGCACACGTGCAACGGTTTTAAACAACGACAAAGAGGTATGTACTTTGATAATACCATGATCTAAATAACATACGTACTTATTATTCGTGAAGTGGTATGCTACACTATATTTAATCGTGGAATGACGTCATCAGATATTCGAACTGGATGTTTATAAACAGATAGTGTAAGAAGTGTGTGAATTGTGATTTCAGATATAGTTAAAGACAGCTTGTTATTGAGGTTTTCTATACATAAAGTGAAAGAATTTCCTAGGACTACAGGTAAAATAAAGTGTTAAACTTTCTCTAGCAATATCAATATATATATATACTACAGAATCCAGGTAATATAAATATATGCTATACATAAATGTAACACAATGACGTGTAAGGTTATATTGTTTGTACGTGTATGCTACATATAAGTTTTGTACAAAACAAAACGCGAGCAAACATATATAAGTAAGTTATAGGAGGCTTTTAGTAGTAGAATGTTAAGGTAATATATGTACTATATGCACATGAAATAAAATGTTATATTGTGCATTACATGTTTTAGCTAAGATACTCGGTGATCACTAGACCGTTGATCACTAGACCATGATTATAGGGATGGGGGCCTACAAAGGGAAAATAGCTAATATAACGATGCGAGTAATAAGAATTACAACTTCCATAATTTTCCATTTCAGTAAATTTTATTGAAAGATCAAAAAGATTGGACAACAGGCTATGCCTATAAAAGTCCTCTCCTAGCCATAATTACAAACAAGTATAAACTATATTACATGAAGTAGTTACAGAAATAGTGATGCAAGGGGAGTAACTCCCACAGAAGTACTGTATCTGTATATCACTGGAAGACCTTACATTTGAGTATAAATTCCAGGGTTGGAGGAGTGCGCTTATAGTTTATATTGTTTCAGTTTGTAGTGCTGTCTTAAAGCTTTTAAGTTCTTGCATTTTGACGAGGTCTTCTGGTAGGTTATTCCATTCTATTGTTGTTCGAGGAAAAAATGAATTTTTCAATATGTCCGTATAACACTGGTAATGTCGGTAATTTTCACTATTTTTTGATCTGGTACGGGTGTTTGATGAAGTCAATATGTGATCTACAGGTATGGCCACTAGCCCCTTCACGATCTTATAAAAAAGGGCAAGCCGATGGTCTCGCCTGCGATCCTTTAGTGGTGTTAGTTTTAGAGTGTCCATCACTTCTGTTACACTGCTGTCCCTTCTATAGTTTGATGTTATAAATCGGGCAGCGCAGAGTGGAATTTGCCTTGATGGTTGTGATACGTATATGAGAGTCCCAATTCATGGAGTTGTGAATGGTCACCCCCAAGTATGGATTTTCTTCCACTTCTTTGAGTAATTGGCCCGACAGTTGGTAGTTGTAGGCACTAGGCGACTTGGATCTTGATGTTCTCAGGATATGACATTTCGACGCGTTGAAAGACATACCCCATTTCGTTGCCCATTCTTCCAAGGACTTGAGGTCTTTTTGGAAGTCCAGGTGGTCTTGGAGGCATCGAATTGGACGGTATAGCAGACAATCATCAGCGAATAGACGTACAGTAGATGTTACGCAGTCGGGCAAGTCATTGATGTGGCAGAGGAAGAGTATAGGTCCCAGGACCGTCCCCTGGGAACCACTGAATCTACCTTCACTCGTGTTGAATGGCTGCCGTCTACAAATACTCGTTGGGTCCGTGATGCCAGGAAGGCCTTGATCCATTGTAGGATGTCGGGGTTCACACCGAAATTCTCTAGTTTATACAGGAGTTTTGAATGGGGAACCTTGTCGAAGGTTGAAATCCAGGATGGCAGTGTCCACTTGTAGCTTCCTGTCGTACATGCTGATGATGTCATAGGTGGTAATCAGCAGCTGGGATTCACAGGAGTGTCCTGACCTGAGGCCATGTTGTAGATGTGTCAGGATGTTGTATTCCTCGAGATGGTTCCTGAGGTGGCGGCAGATAATATGCTCAACCAGTTTACAATACACACACGTGAGCGACACTGGCCTGTAGATGCTGGGTTGATGGCGTTAGTTACCCTTCTTAAAGATTGGTGTAATGTTGGCATTCCTCCAGTCATCAGGGAGTTCACCGGTCAGAATCGATTGTTGGGATGTATGGGTCATTGCCGGGGCAAGTTCGATTGAGCACTGTTGAAGGACACGATTTGGAAGGTTGTCTGGACCGCTAGCCTTACTGACTTTGATTTCGCTGATCAATTCTCAACTCCCTTCTCATCTATAATGAGGTTCCTCATAATGGGAAACTTTGGTGTGGTGAGAGGTAGGAGATCCGGATTGGGGGGCTCCTTTGTGAACACCGACTGAAACTGTCGATTTAGGGCCCCCGCCTTGTCTGTACTGTCGGTGAGTAGTTTGTTACCCTCTTTTAGTGGAGCAATTCCGATGTTGTCCTGCTTCCTGGCCTTGATGTATCGCCAGAAGGGTTTGTTGTTTTTCTGCTCAATTCCTGCCTGCAATGTCTGCCAACCCATGGTAGCTGATTTGTTTTCGTGGAGGTCAATTTGGATGGAATGCGCTCGTCGATAATGGAATTTAAGCCGTTTTTGAATTTCGTCCAGTTTTTCTCAACCGATTCACTAGAATTAGTGATTGTGTCACTGAGGTTTGTCGCATCCTCCTTAACAGCCATCCAGTCAACATTCTTGTACATCAGTACTTTAAGCGGCTTCTTCTTGTGGTACACAGGTTTGATGTCCTCGTCTATCGTTACCATATCATGGTCCGATATACCGTGGATTGTCTGTACATGTTTTAATTAAATAAATCAATAAATATATAAGCCTCATCTATTGAGACCAAGGATCACCCCCAGTGTTAGACAGCAAGAGATCAACAAGCTACTAGGGATTCTGACCATACAAAATCCTTAGCCATACACTGGCTTAGGTCATTCACCCCAGCAGACCTTGGATCCACGCCATGCAAAACTAGGAGATTTTTGGTAATACAATGTATATAGTTAAATATTTTCAAAAGAAGTCACTATTGTTTTCATCATCATCCAACCACCTACATTCATCAATTTATTTTATCAATTTATAAAGTAAGAATTATTTTATATAGAAAGACTTGTAAGCAAGATGATTTTTGTTATGCACAGTACAGTAACAACTAAGGGTGGTTAAATACTCTCTTTGTATCAGTTATAAAGACTGATACTTTTTCAAGTATAGTAGCATTAATATCATCACTACATTGTTAACAACCATTGAGTAAGACATTTATATTGTTATGCATATGATCAGCATTCGGTAAGGAGTTCATCAGAACATGTCTTTGGTTATTAAAATTTTGACATTCAAAAGAGTAGTGTTAGGGGGTTTCTTGATCCTGCCTGCAATCACAAGTAGGTGATCCAGACAAGTGATCAGTATACAGGTCAAAGTTCAAGTTACTGGCCTTATTTCGTAGTTGGCATAAAATAATATTAATTTTTCTGCATCCTGAATATTTAAATATGAGGGTTATATCATTATGAGGTTTGTTCAGGTTTTTTAGGTGTTTTTTAAACTGAGATTGGGACTGGGAGTTCGTAATAGTAGGGTCCACTTGATTATACTTGTTGAGAGTGGCAGGAAAGTAACTGTTAAAATAATTATCTGTTCGACAGAGAGGCGGATTAACAATTATATTTCCCCTTAACTCTTATCTTGTACTTGTAATATCATTAATAAATGGATCTATAATATTTAATAAGTAAGATGGGTTGTCATTATGCAGAATTCTATGCATTAAAATTATTTTTTGTTTATTTCTTCTTTCAGCTTATGTTTCCCATTCTAATTTTTCATAAAGTTTCTCATGAGACGTTCCTCGACGTAATCCTGTAATTATCCTGGCTGCATCTAATTGGACTGTTTCGAGAAGTGTTTTTTCCTGTTCTGTACAATTGTCCCATAAAACACTTGCATATTCTAAGATTGGCCTAATATACGAGGTATACATTATAATAAGTGATTTTTTTATCTACAGAATTTTTTAGACTTCTAAGAATGTTTATTCTATTATATGCCTTATCATAGGTTTTTTTGTATGTGTTTAGCTCATTTACCATCTTCAGTGAAAGTAAGACCAAGATGAATGTGAAATCTATTGTTAGTTAGTGGTTCATTCAAGAAAGAAATAGGTGGGTGATTTGGTTCTTTTTTCCGAGTAAAAATAACAGTTTCAGTTTTTGCAGCATTACATTTCAAGTCCCACTTTTTTACCCATGTACTTATATTCTGAAGATCATTTGTTAGACTTTCTGCTGCTTGTATTGGATTATTATCAATAATTATATAACAGCAAATAATTTAATATTATTATTAACTTGATCTGTTATATCATTAATGTACAGTAAGAATAAAAAAGGCCCAAGAATTGATCCCTGAGGAACTCCAGCATTAACATTAGTAAAATTTGAATAGTGGCCCTCTGTAAACACTCTCTGTTTTCTTTCAAATAAATAGTCTTTGAACCAAGATAACAATTTTCCTTTGATTCCATATGACTCTAATTTGAATATAAGACCATGATGCCATACCCTATCGAAAGCTTTGCTCACATCACAAAATACAAACCGCACTTCTTTACTCCTATCTAAATTACTTACTATTATGTGATATATAAATACAAGCTGATTTACAGTCGAGTCACCTGGTAAAAATCCAAATTGATATTTGGATATGATTTCATTATCAATAAGGAAGTTATATAAATTTTTAAATATATTTTTTTCAACAATTTTACTATAGCATGATGTGATTGATATTGGTCTATAGTTTGTAACTTCATTCTGTGACCCTTTACCCTTGTAAATAGCATTAACATTTGCCAATTTCCAGGATGTTGGTATTTTTCCAGTTTCTATGGTTTTATTAAATAGCAATTGTAGCGGAAATGGAAGAACGAAGCTGCTTAATATTTTTTGGTATCATCTCATCTGGACCAGGCGTTTTTTTATCATTAAGGATTTGTAATTGGTCTAAAACATCTTGCTCAGAAATAAAAATATAATCTAGTTTAGAAGGAAAATTATTAATCAAGGGAGGTAATTGTTCAAGATCAGGAGAGGAAGTTGCTATAGATGAAAAGTAGTTATTTAGAGTCACAGCTTTATCAGTTGGGTGTTGAATGCCCATTCCTTCGTCATATATTGGTGGTATACTTTTCAGTTTATTATTAAAGTTTAAAACAATTTGGCAACTTTCCACCACTTACTAGGTGGTACAGATATATCATATAAGGATCTCTGGAGATTTTCAAGATAAAACTACTTGGCATTTCTTATCATATCAATAGCTTCATTTCTAATTAGTCTAAAAGTTTCAGAATAAGTCTGACTATTACTATTTTTTGCTTTTTTTGTGAATTCTATTTTTCTGACTTAATATCAACCTTATTGTATTGGTCATCCTCGGTTTGTCATCTGGACGGATGGTTATCAACTTTGAAGGTATACATTTAACAATTTGATCAGAAATAGCTTCAGTAAGTATATTATTAAATTCTTTAGTGTTGTTTGTTTGTGAGATTGCTAACCAGTCTATTTCATTCAAAGACATATTCATTTTTCCCAAAATCTGCATGTTCATACATCAGTATTTTTCTTGTATGATCTATGTTTAAAAACTGAATAAGAAGTAATAAAACTAATAGGTGAATGGTCACTACACAACTTTGGACTAACTAATGTACTTTGAATCAAACGCCTGTTGTTTGTGAACAATGCATCTAGTGATGTAGAGCTATTTGTAGTTATACGTGTAGGTTCCTTTATCATATTTTTAATATTATACTTTGTTAAGAGCTTAGAAAGATAAGAGTTAGGTCGTAGTTTTAACATATCGTTATTTATATCACCTGTACTAATTATATCTAGTGTTGTGTTTGTTGCATTTTCAAGAATTGTATCTCATTTTGTCCAGTACTCAACATTTGCATCAGGGGGTCTATATATACACACAAGTATAAAATTATGATTCCCTGCACAAACGTCAATCTATAATATTTCAATATCATCATTCTTTAAATCATGTCTCCTTTTGGTTAAAACTGTATCTTTATAATATACTAAAATCCCCCCTTCAAATCCTGTTAATCTATCCCTCCTATGTGGTTCACAAGGATGTGAATCAATCACAATGTCATTACGATGTATTTCCTGATTGAGATGTGTCTCTGTCAAACAGATAATATCAATATAATCAAATATATCAAGCTTGTTACGTACTGATCTTACATTAAGATGGATTATTTCAAGATTGCTCTGGGGCCCAGGATTTAATTCTACATCATTACTCAAAATAACAATTTCACTAAGGACAAACATTTTAAAATTATTGTTGTTAACTAACATTACTGAATAAGACAAAAACATATGATAGTGTATAAGGGGAGGGGGTGAAGCTCTCCAGCTCTCAGTTCAAGTAATAACCTAATCAGAGAGATACTAGTCAAGTCTTTCTTGAGATGCCCGTGTATCTCAGTACATATATTTAGGTGCATATCAACCGTTTTCAAACTGAAAATATTTACTCAGACACACGGGCAATATATAATGATAAGTTGGAGTGTGATTGGCGATGATGACTATGATAACACTTTTTTGACGAGTTATTTACATGTACATGATATGAGGCATATAGTTCTAATATAAAAGAAAATTTACATCTATATGTAAGAAAGAAGTAGGTTAACATATATACAAAAAACAACAAAAATGTCAGTGTCATACCGACAAAGTTTAACTCACAATCAGATCATCGTTTATGTGGTTCCCGTCATGATCAACGTATCATCTCCTTATGACACAGATGCTGAAAAATGATGTTTGTGCAAACACATATTGGAGACCAAGATCCAGATTCAAAGCATGTGCATATGCTTGCCATAGATAGAGGATTAGGCGATATAAACTGTTACTATTTATAGTAACACACATAATAGGCAGAAAAGATTACCAATACAAAGTCAGCCCATGACACGTGTAGGGATTTAACGTATGCAAGCATAGATAGGGAGAGAGTAATTTTTTTTTTAGGAATATACAAACGTTGAGGTTTAACCATCACTGTCAAGGTATGTTACGATTTTAACCTGACGCAATAAGTTATTATGATGTAGGAGTTACACTGATATCAGGTAGCTATAGAGTGATATCATTGTACGTATGCTTATACTACTGTATGTAAGGGAATGATACACTCATCATGACAGGATATCCGTAATGGAGTCATTGATTGGTTTCTTCATGTTGAATAAAGGTTTCATAAACTCAAAACAATATTTGTATATACAGATTTAGTGACAATTCTATAATTAGATACTATGACCACTGTAGAGAACGAGCATACACTAACAAACGTGTGTACCTGTTTACCTCACACAAGCAATACAAAATGCAGGTATATCCATACACACAAACATTCCCGAAAGCAGAGACCTTTATATCACATGGGATATATACGTCTCTGTCAAGAGGTAACCGTTAATTGCATAATTAAATTAGATATCTATATTCATATTATATTTAACGTTGACATTATTCGAAGACATTTCACAGAAAGTGATACATAAAGGAGCGTTTTGCGCAATGATGTACTCCTTCTTACAAATAAACATATATGCAGATATATACTTGGGTCTTTGAATTAGGATGGCATATTGCATTTGCTTGTATACTACAGGACATTCAGCTGATCACACACACACAAACATGTACTAACCGATCACACTCTCTCTCTCTCTCTCTCTCTCTCTCTCTCTCTCTCTCTCACACACACACACACACACACACTATACACACAGTTCTGTTAAACATGTAATGTTGTTATAATAAAACATTTAATATACTGTCATACAACGTGTTGTATGTTTGAATACCCCGGTCTTCATAATTTACTTCACAATCAAAAAAATCTAAAACGTAATATGTATTTTAACATACTAGTTTCTTTCATAATGTATTTTAAAATGAGATATCCTGAAAAGGAAACAGCACAAATGCCTAAGACACGTACTTTATGACTTAAAAACCAGATTTCTTTTATTCGTAATCATTAAATGTATTCAAACATATTATAATATAATATTAATATCAAAATGTATGTAGTTATGCGGGCAAATGAAATACAAACAAATAACGTATGTTCTTTTTTCATGTTTAGGTTGCAATGGCATCATCTCACGATCAGTCACCAGAACGAGACTGGCAAGTTGGTAAATCCCTGAACCATTGTCTTGATTATCTCTTCACTTCCGGTCTAGCTTGTGACGTCACCTTTCTGATCGGAGATGAAAAAGAAAAGATTTCCGCTCATAGAACGATTCTTCTCAGCAGGAGCCCAGTGTTTTATGCTATGTTTGAGGGAAATCTGGCAGAAAAAGAGTCGATAATTATTCCTGATTATACAGCACGAACATTTTCAATGTTTTTGAGGTAAATTACAAAAAATCAAAAACATGTAAATAAAATAAAAATAACAGAAGTCGTCATTCAGCCGACTTGGGGGTCATTTGTGTGTAGAATTCGGGTTTTATATTTGTTGAAATATCAAAACAATAACACTTCAGATGTTGGAAACAAATTATTTTAATTGAAGTACGTTTCCCAATATGTATTTGATGATGCTAGAACAGTTTCCGTCAATTGAAATAGACAACATAAAAATCGGATCAAGGTCTTTGAGGCTCGCTGACTTATGTGCAGGTTTATGTGGTCTTATGCTTAGGAATCATACAACAAGTACAGTTAGTATACCATTATTTCATAATGTGTAATATGTTTGAATAAAATGTTTTGTTTTATATAGTTAAATGACATAATCTTTAATGCTTGATGTTAGTTTTTTGTTGATGTTGGTTGATAAAAAATTATTTACAGTTTTTTCCCCTTTCAATCAACAGATATCTGTATACAGACGAAATACAACTAACCGTGGAGACTGTCACATCTGTGCTGTCAGTCGCGAGGAAATACATCGTTGATAATCTCGTCACAAAGTGTGAAACATTCCTCAAGGATTCTTTGACCACTGAAAATGTATGCCTACTATTGGAAGAAGCCCATGTTTATACGGAAGAAAGCCTAAAGGAGGATTGTGTACATGTGATTACAAGATCACCGGAAGGAGCGCTGAAGTCAACCAGTTTCGTCGACCTTTGTGGCGTCTGTGTGAAGAGTATTACAGAGTCAGACGATTTAGCGGTGGAGGAGAGCGTGGTGTACGAGGCGATGATGCGGTGGTCAGAGGCGGAGTGTGGACGTCAGGGTCTGGAGGTGACGGATACAAACAGACGGGAGGTACTAGGGGACATAATCTACACAGTCAGGTTCCCTATCATGGAGCATGCTTACTTCAGGAAAAAAGTGCTTGTAACAGATATTTTGTCATCGATGGAGTCACGTGACATCATGCGCTATCATGAAGATTCTAAAGGATTTCCATGTAAAGAATTCAATAAGAATTTTAGAAGAAAAAAACGTGTTGAATATGATTTTGATGAAGATTATAATTATTAATACATATATTAAAAGACATCATCGCCATGGAACATATAATGTTTTGAGTTACCAACAACTTTGATACTTTCCATTAAGTTAGCATTTGAGATTAAACTGTGATGTATACGTCCCGAAAAGCAAAACAAAAGATATTTATTCATTTAAAACGACCCGCAGACCTGTTTTCGATGCGATTCTCATTTACTACTACGCAACAATCTATGTAACCTTAAAGTGTATTTAACATTTATTTAACATTTCATCAACTTTCATATTTCTGTTCGATTAAATAGTAGTTTAGGTCGATTTGAACGTTTGCATTGATTTTTAATTTGTTAAAAAATCTCACTGATTTAAGATTGCTTAAGGTTTTCTTCTTCTTTGAGATTTCCCATTACTTTAATATTGCTTATGGTTTTTTTCAACTGTAATATTTCTAATTAATTTAACAATGCTTTGACATTGCTCAAGGGACCTCAGTCTTGATTTGGCCGTTCATTTAACGTTTCTGCGATTTGTATTAATCTAAAAGAGGGGGACTTATATGACGGTCGCCGTTACGACTGATTAATTATTGCTTGAAACTCATTCCATTGATTTACCACTGCACGAGCTTTTAATCAACTTTGAGAATAATCAATCATTAAATATCAGTTTGGTTTTCCTGTAGTTTGATATTTTTTTTATTGTTTTAACATTGCCAGATGTTATTCTTAAATCTGATATTTAAACATTGCTTGAGGTGTTGATTTCACACTAAGTTCTCCTTACACTTGGAAGTTCTCGAATGATTGAACTTCGCTTCAGGTTTTGCTCAATTTGGTATTTCTTATTGATTAAACTTTGCTTAATGTCTCAATCTGTATTATTTGTAATTATATTAATTTTTGAGGTTTTCGTTCACTATACATTTCCTTAACATGACGATGTCTAATACAGGGTAGGAATGAGTAAGTATCGTGCAATGCATGTATAACGAAGCGTATCATTTATTGTCTGTTCGATTTTTCAATATAATGCAAGTACATTGTTTCCAATTCAACCTATGTTCCAATAATATTGTTATCACTGCCACCTACGTCCCAATGATATTGTTTCCAATTCAACCTACGTCCCAATGATATTGTTATCACTGCCACCTACGTCCCAATGATATTGTTATCACTGCCGCCTACGATCCAATGATATTGTTATCACTTCCACCTACGACCCAATGATATTGTTATCAATTCAACCTACGTCCCAATGATAATGTTATCACTTCCACCTACGACCCAATGATATTGTTATCACTTCCGACTACGACCCAATGATATTGTTATCACTGCCGCCTACGTCCCAATGATATTGTTATCACGTCCACCTACGACCCAATGATATTGTTATCAATTCCACCTACGTCCCAATCATAATGTTATCACTTCCACCTACGACCCAATGATATTGTTATCACTGCCGCCTACGACCCAATGATATTGTTATCACTGCCGCCTACGTCCCAATCATAATGTTATCACTTCCACCTACGACCCAATGATATTGTTATCACTGCCGCCTACGACCCAATGATATTGTTATCACTGCCGCCTACGTCCCAATCATAATGTTATCACTTCCACCTACGACCCAATGATATTGTTATCACTGCCGCCTACGACCCAATGATATTGTTATCACTGCCGCCTACGTCCCAATCATAATGTTATCACTTCCACCTACGACCCAATGATATTGTTATCACTGCCGCCTACGACCCAATGATATTGTTATCACTGCCGCCTACGTCCCAATGATATTGTTATCACTGCCGCCTACAACCTTATGATAAAATGAAAAGGCAAAGCCTTAAAAGAGCGAAGCTTTTGTTGATTGCTGATATTTTCCGATTTAGAATGAGATAATTTTGATACTGCTTTCAGAATAAGGCAAGATAAAATTTATTTAAAGTCGGCTAGTCGAGGGATAACAATAAAAAATAAACTCTAATGAGATTAAGACCGACATAACAATAGGGGATATCGGGGCAAATTCTGCATTTTTTTTTTTATTAAAGTCCGTTCTGGGAAGTATGCCAGCTCGTCCGTTTTTGAACATTATTTAATTTCCCTGTCGGATGATCGGATGACCGAGCGAACCCCACCATAGTATTGAAGCATTAGTTCAACAGTTAATGACATTTGTGATGGGATAAATGATGTGATATGAACCTGAAAAAGTCTAAGCCTTTGCTTCGAGTCAATAACATCTTTTGAGGATCTCATTACATCATTTGAATGATTAATTAGGCTGGAAACTTTGGACCATGAAATTCGATGTCGAGGCATGATCATGCTATTGATATGTATGCTTGATTACGTAGGTATCGAATAGCATTGGTATGTAATAATACGAAAAAGCAAAGCCTTAAAAGAGCGTAGCTTTTGTTGATCTCTGACATTTACTGATTCAGAATACTGCTTTCAGAATGAGATAAGATAAATCTTTTTTAAAGTCAGCAAGTCGAGGAATAACACTAAAACATAAGGTCTAATGAGATTAAGACCGACATAACAATAGGGGAGACCGAAGCAAGTTCGGCCCCTGTTCGGACAGGCATTCGGGTAAGTTCGGTCCCATTGGAATCAGCTTAATCATGACATTATAAAAGCCTGCAACGTCAGATTTTATCGCCAATTTTACGACTGTTTATGTGTTACATGGGCCGAGCTTGCCACGGTATCATTGGCCGTAACCGTCCGGGCCCAAACTGATATTTCAATAAACTTTTACAGTACAGCAATATGGTAGGAGTGCTTGGCTTTACTTTTATGTACATGTATATCATTTGAAGCTGTCAGTGTGTTACACGTTTGACCGTAAAAAAATAGCAATTCCGATTACAGAAAGTTCGCATAACTAGAAGCGAGATCATGATTTTGTTTCTACTCTCTCAAAAGAAATTTTCTCCTGTTTAGTAATTTTGCATTAGAGTTTTCCTCGCCATTTTTTCGTGTGAATGCCCAGCCAACTAAACTGCTAAGATCTTTAATTTGTAAATTCTAGCTCAAAAACAAAAATATCTCCCGTATGTAGTTTTTTGTATCGTTGATGATTGTTAAAAATGTATTCACAATACAATTTGTGCATCAATGACGCCATTTTTAAAGCTAAAGTAGATATTTGTTCTTGTGCGTAACGTATATGATGGGTCGGTGGCGCAGTGGATAGCGCTCGTCTTCACCAAGATGACCGGATTCAATCCCGGTTACCTGCCCAACATCGGGTTTTTTTTCCGGATACTCCGGCTTCCTCCCACATTAAAAATAAAATCCTATGCGTGCTTCCGTCAGGTCACAAAAAGAATGATTGAAATAAAGTGGGAAAAAACCGTTTGGTCATTGCTATAGAAAAAAGTGCATATTACATATTTGTCGATAAGTCTATACAAGTAAATGTATAGAGAGCTTAGTTAAAAAAATGAAATTAAAAAAAGAAAACATTGGATTACTTTGATGTAACTGAGATTGTCGTTATATCGATATTTATAATTCTTGTTCCATCCTAAAACACCGGATTGAATTTAAAATTGTGTAACTGTCACTGAGATTTGACGGGTAATAATGTCAAATACAATTAAACAGTTTCTGTCTCTAACTAGTTATAAATCGGCATGCGTTATGAAAAAGTAATACATTGTACGTTGCTGAAAAGGGGCGTTGAACTCGGGCTCGTTGTCTGGACAATTATTGTTGATTTCGACATAAATGAATTATCCATTGTTTCTTTTATGAGTGGTGATGCCTACATAAATTATGTAAAGACTATAACCAGACTTTCAAAAATGTTAATTATTTTGTTCATATTCTCAACAAATGGAAATCAAAAGCAGATGAAATTTTAGACAATGAAAAATAAATGGACACGTTGACCTATTGGTTTAATGCGGCTCTTTTTGAAAATATCTCCCGGTAGATATATTAACAGAACCTGGTTGATGACAAAATATGATCTTCAGAAAACATCCGCGTTTTTACTTTTTGTGCCTGTGGCAAAAACTGAAATTAAAAAGTCATGAAGCACCGACAAAGAGATAAATGCAACGGCCATCAGTTCCAAGATTTTCCGGTTATTTTTCATCCTTTCGGAAATAACCGATGAGTGCCGATGGAGTGGGACGTGATTGTGACGTCACAGTATGATAATCTCTGAACGACGTTTCATGTCTGCTAGTATCAAAATGTACGACCAAATTATATTGTTATCACTGCCGCCTACTACCTAATGTCATTGTTATCAATTTCAACTACGACCAAATGATATTATTCTCAATTTCACCTACGACCCAATAATAGTGTTATCAATTCTACCTATGACCTAATGATATTGTTATCAATACCACCTACGTCCAAATGATATTGTTATCAATTCCAGCTACGTCCCAATGATATTGTCATCACTTCCACCTACGTCCCGATAATATTGTTATCACTTCCACCTACGTCCCAATGTTAATGTTATCAATTCAACCCATGACCTAATGATATTGTTATCAATTCCACCTACGACCCAATGATATTATTATCAATTCCACCTACGACCTAATGATATTGTCATCACTTCCACCTACGACACAATGATATCGTTATCAATTCAACCCACGACCTATTGATATTATTCTCAATTTCACCTACGACCTAATACAATTGCTATCATTGCCGCCTACGATCCAATGATATTGTTATCACTTCCACCTACGACCTAATGATATTGTTATCAATTCCACCTACGACCAAATGCTAGTGTTATCAATTCCACCGACTTCCCAATGATAATGTTATCAATTCAACCCACGACCTACTGGTATTATTCTCAATTTCAACTACGACCTAATGAAATTGTTATCATTGCCGCCTACAATCCAATGATATTGTTATTAATTCCACCTACGACCAAATGATATTGTTTTTAATTCCACCTACGACCCAATGATATTGTTATCACAGCCATCCACGACCCAATGATATTGTTATCAATGCCACCTACGACCCAATGATATTGTTATCAATTCTACCTACGACCAAATGATATTGTTATCAATTCCACCTACGACCCAATGATATTGTTATCAATGCCACCTACGACCCAATGATATTTTTATCAATTCTACCTACGGCCAAATGATATTGTTATCAATTCCACCAAAGTCCCAATGATATTGTTATCACTTCCACCTACGTCCCAATGCTATTGTTATCACTTCCACCTACGTCCCAATGATATTGTCATCAATTCTACCTACGACCAAATGATATTGTTATCAATTCCACCAAAGTCCCAATGATATGGTTATCACTTCCACCTACGACCCAATGATATTGTTATCACTTCCACCTACGACCTAATGATATTGTTATCAATTCCACCTACGACCTAATGATATTGTTATCACTTCCACCCACGACCCAATGGTATTGTCATCACTTCCACCTACGTCCCAATGATATTGTTATCACTTCCACCTACGTCCCAATGATAATGTTATCAATTCAACCCACGACATAATGATATGATTCTCAATTTCACTTACGACCCAATGATATTGTTATCACTTCTACCTACGACCTAATTATATTATTCTCAATTTCACCTACGTCCCAATGATATTGTTATCAATTCCACCTACGACCCAATGATATTGTTATCACTGCCGCCTACGATCCAATGATATTATTATCACTGCCGCCTACGACCCCATGATATTGTTATCACTTCTACCTACGACCTAATGATATTGTTATCCATTTCACCCACGACATAATGATATTATTCTCAATTTCACCTACGTCCCAATGATATTGTTATCAATTCCACCTACGACCC